CTTCTTCCTCAGAGCCTCTACTAATTTGGTCTCTTATTTTTGTTCATTCTGTCTTTAATTGATGGATCTAAATTGAGCCTATCTTTCCCTCTATTTTTTTTTTTACCTTCCATTGTCTACTTTAATTTGTACATACACTTTTCCAGTTTTTATTACAATATATTAAAATTAGAGTTCCTTGAGGCAGACCCTTTTTCATTTGTTCTTTGTAGCATTTGTATTAATGGAGAAATGGGAAAGGGAGAAAAGAAAAACACTCAATCCCAGGCCTTTTCTTTTAGTTATTTAGTCCATTCAATAAATATTTATTGAATATGTTCTGTGTGTCAGGTTACTCAGAACACAGCATTATGGCCCCAGTTTAGTTGAGAAGATAGACATTAAATAACTACATAAATACTTAAAATAATATTAATTGATATGAATAATTGTTGGTTCTTAGGAACAGTTTGTATTCTGCTCCTACAGTTTTATAGTCCAGTGGTGCAGATTGGGGAGATCAGGAAAAATCATACATAAGAGGGAAAAACAACAACTTTAAAATAATAATATGGCAGCATAGTTTTAAATGTTACTGTGGATGCTCCTTTCTACTCAGTTGACATCTATAGGTTCTGAACTTTCAACAGTGCATTTTAGATGAATTCCTTATTAAGGTAGAACCAATTTATAATTGAGCTTTGCTTGACTGAAAGGCATTTTTGGAGGCACTGAGTTACAGGTTGAAATAATACACATTATTTCACATCTCTTTTTCATTCCTTATTTCTTGCTTCCTGTAATCTTCAAATTCCTTCTGTCATTTTCTTTTCATCTTTGCCAGTTCTGATCTCCTTCTGTCTTTTGGTGATGTCTGTTTTGTGTTACCTTCTGCCTTCCCCTACCCCTTGAAAATCTCCAATTCTTTTTCTTTTTCACTTTTATCCAAAACTAGAAAAAAAGTAAAAAGGATTCAAGTTAAAATGACTAAAATTTACTTACTAATATAGACACTTTGTGTATGTATATTCCAACTTTTGAGATCATGATATTCAGTCTCTTCAGTTTTTCTCTTTAACATATTAAGGTGGTACTGTGTAAAAATGAAAGAGAATAAAAATTAACAATTCAGAGTTTTTTGATTAGATGATCACTAGTTCCTTTTACCATTTGAGGTCAAAGTTTAGCTGCTTCCCATTGAACAAGGTGAATGACTATAGGTTGAGAAAGGAAAGACATGATATTGACTGATCTAGGGATAAATCAAGAAATGTGACATTTCATGCATGGGTCTTTGCACTTAGAGTGCAGGGGTGTCAGTCAGAATATGCATGGTATAGGAAATCAATTGAAACTTGAGCCCATGGACATTTACTTCAGCAAAATTCTTACTAATTATCATGACTATGTCTGGGTAGACTGTTATAGGCATAATTTAGTTTCCAAAAGGTTGAGATTCTTTTGTATAATTGTAAATCTCCTATTAGTGATATATAATTTATAGTTTGTCAGCTGTATTTCATATAACATCAACTATTACTTTAAGTCTTTATTAAACCAGTAAAGCCTTATGTGTTATACATGCTGCTAGTAAACCTTAAACCTCTAACAAGTCATTTTATGTAGAAAATAGAAAGCCTGGTAAACTGTTTCAAATTGTCTCCTTTTTTTCTGAAAGTAGGTTGCTTGTCTAATTTTTATGTTTTCTTAAGTAATAGAGTAAGTGATGTACGTTATAAGACTGGATTTTATTTTCTGTAATCCACTTTTTTGGGTGATTAGTCTTTAACTGGCTGTTGAATGATCCAACTCAGAAAAATATCTCACAGTTAGCACTTAGAGTGTTTCAACGTCAAAGATCTGGTCTCATTTTTCAGTGCTCTACATCAGGGATGTGCAAAGTAAAGACCTATGGTGCACATCCATCCTTCCAGTTGTTTTTGTGAATAAAGTTTTATTGTAGCACAGCCACACCTGTTCATTTACGTATTATCTTTGGATGCTTTTGTACTACAAAGGCAGCATTTAGTAGCTGCAACAGAGAACATACAGCAAAATCTAAAATACAATATGACTCTTTACAGAAAGCTTGCTGATCTCTGCGGTAAATCTAGTTGAGACTAAATTATGATGTAGTTAAGCTTTGATATCTATGACTAGTACTTCCTGAAACTTTTAAAGAAATACAAATAGAGAAATATAAATATTAGCCTTTTTTCTTTCCAGACTCTTGTTTATATTGAAAGTTACTTGTTTGTATGTAATTTTTCAAATCTCAGATTAACCATTTGCTCATTTTCATTTAAGTTTTAGTTTTTTCTTAATGACCAATTATCACTGTACTTACAAAGGATAACCATAGAGCAAAATTGAGATCAATTATAAAGGATAGGGGCGCCTGGGTGGCTCAGTCTGTTAAGCGTCTGCCTTCGGCTCAGGTCATGATCCCAGGGTCGTGGGATCAAGTCCCGCATCCAGCTCTCTGCTCAGCAGGGAGTCTGCTTCTCCCTCTCCCCCTGCTTGTGCTCTCTCTCTGTCAAATAAATAAATAAAATCTTTAAAAAAATCATAAAGGATAATAAAGTAAAATTAAAATCTAAATAAATGCGAAGTGGTTGACTTAAACCTCATGCCCTACATGTCAGACCTGGCACACCTACCAAAACATGTTTCAAATTCACTCATCAGCAAAATGATAAATCACTATACATTTTGTACTTCTGAGGGCAATCATATACATTATTTATATCTGTAATGCTAAATTCATGTGGAAAGGATTTATTATAACCTTTGATAAGAAAATTTTATTTTAATTTTTAAAAAATTTTAGTTAGCAGAGAATTTTAATATTAGACTAAATACAACTATCTTAACCATATCCTCTTGAAAGATATTAATTTAAAACATTCAGACTCTTCATTTCTCTCTCCTTAAAGTAATAATTCTTCTTCACCTTGCAGGGCCTGAAAAAAGCTTATAGGTATCACATAGAAATTGCATACACTCTTTGTTGTGTTGATCATTTTGAATGTACAAATTAGGTATCCTCCCTACACTGTTACTTTCTTCCCAATCATATATGTAGTTCTTTGGAACAAAAGAAGGAGATTTATAACCTTGAGATCTAAACTTTGTTTTTTTTTGTTTTTTTTTTTTTGCAAGAGTTTCCAATAATCTACTAATCTGAATGTTTAGTTTTTATGTATCTTTTCATTTTAAATTACTGAGTTTAATAAATTAATTACTAAACTTATAAGAGTTTAAGTTGAGTCTTCTTTGGAAACTGCTGAAATTAGCTTTTTGTCTGATTTCATCTAAAAAGAACAACATTAAGGTAAATATTTCTCACTACATATGGCTTCCTTGAAAATGACATTTAGCCAACCGGTAACTGATGTTTAAATGCTAGTGATGTTTTTCAAATACTCTTACGTGAGCATCAATAAGTGTAAGAATTTTGTTATCTTATACCTTTCACTGTGTTTTTTAATTGATCAAAAAAGAAATGATCATCTTCAGAGTTTTTGTAGAACAAGTTTTTATGAAGCAGGATATTTGAAAACTGTTGATTTATTCTGGGAGAAATGTGAAATGTGAATCCAAGTAGACATTACTAGTTTGAGATATATTAAGTATATATAATTCAAAATTGCTATGCCACCCTGTAAATTTATACCATTTAAGTATGTGTAGAAATAGTTTTTGATAGGGGCACCTGGGTGGTTCAAGTTGTTCAGCATCTGCCTTCAGCTCAGGTCATGATCCCGGGGTCCTGGGACCAAGCGTTCACCCCCCACCCCCGCCACATGGGGCTCCCTGCTCAGCGGGGAGCCTGCTTCTCCCTCTCCCTTTGCCATTTACCCTGCTTGTGCTCTCTCTCACGCTCTCTCTCAAATAAAGTCTTAAAAAAAAAAAAAAAGAATTTTTTATATATATTTATTTTTTCTGGTTAAAAATTCAATGTTCTAAATTTCTCTTCATGAATGTAGCAATTTCATTGAACTGTGGAGTTTGGAACAATTTTGTAATAAATTTATTAAGTTTCTCTATATCTTTTTCACATATCCTTTTCTTTTTGTGGTAAATATTATTGTAGGAGCCCAGAAATGGGGGAGGGGGGAATGGAGAATATGAGAAAACAGGAACTTATATATCTAAACATTTTAGTACAATTTCAAAATAATGGAGCCATTTCTAAAATCTACATCATTTTACTAATACCCATTACAGATTTTCATTTAATTTACCCAATTTAATGGTTGCCTAAATTACATTATAGACATTTTCTAAGATATGTCATTTAGCATTTCTGTACCTTTCCTGCATTTGTTCAATTCACCAACATCAAAAAACATTTCAGTAAGCACAGTGACTCTTCCAAGATAAAATACATTTATGAGAGGAACCAATTTACTTCCTTAGTCTTTAAATTGAATAATTCTATATATGTAATGAAAGAGAAAATAACATTAGTCATCTAAATACATGGTCCAGTTTTGGTCAGCCTTTCTATATGGTGTATTTGTTTTAACAAATAGATAGCAGCAGGAGATTTTCAGTTCAAATTTAGTGGTCATTATTTGTCTTTGCTTTTGAGGGAATATAGTTAAACTTTGCAATAAAATACTTGCCTTGTTTTATTTGTGATGAAGTCCAAAAAACCAGAGGAAATACAGTTTTTGGTAAGAATTGAAAGTCCAGGAATAAATATAATGATGAGAAGTAGTGCTTCTATCACTAGGGAACTTTCCTCATCTAAGCACATATGAACAATTGATCCTTGTAGTCATATATAGCAGTAAACATTAATAACTTAACAGTCTGAAGTCAGTGCAGAAGATATGGAGCATTATTGAAAGATGGAGTCGAGCAGGTGGCACTTTAATATGTTCAGTGTCATGGTTGACTCTAAAGACTAGTCGAATGAAATTACTTGAGGTTCTAAAGATTTAAAAAGCGAACTCATTTTGCTGCACTAAGGAAATGCTACTGATCAGGCTTTCTGTGTCCCTTTTTTCTAGGCTAGAAAATATTAACCCTGAAGAAAATGACATGGTAAGCCATTCTCTGAGGAGATTTCTTGATGTCAGTCTTATATCTTAGAGGCTTAAGTTCAATTGAGTGGGTTTCAAGAACTAAGATGTGGGAAAAAGAAGAATTGACACACTAATAATGTACATCTTTGCTGCAATATGAAAATTCAATAACTTCACTCAGTCAATTTACAATTCACATGTGCCTATTAATTAAAACCCTATATTAAATAAAATATATTAAAACTTCATGTCTGACTAACATATAATGGTGTTGGTAGACATTACAGGAATTACTGAACAGAATAAACAATGCAGACACAGGAATAGCTATTCAGAAGAATGGAGCTGTAATTGTGGATAGAATCTACAAGACCAAGGAATGTAAAAAGAGAATAACTGCAGAAGAAATGAATGCAGTGATAGAAGAGCGGGATGCTGCTTTGTCTCAGGTAACTGCATGTATCTGTAAAAGCATTTTCCCTCATTTCTTTACCGTTAAAAAATGACTTTTCCCCACATAGTCTTAATTCAAATTAGTTTTTAGCATATGATTAATACCACGATGATTAGATATATTAAAATAGTCACAAATTTTGTTAGACCATTCTTCAAATACATGCATCCTCATTTCTTAATAAAACTGTTAGGTTGTTATAAAAATTTAGTTATATTCAAAAAAAAAATTTAGTTATATTCTTTAAAGTAATCACTTTTATATGAGACTTCTTACTTGAGTCGCAGTTTTGTGAGGGCTGAGATTATGTCTTTATTACTGTTTTATTCCCAGTGCCTAATTCAGTGCCTTTTAGTAAACATTGATAAATGAATCAAATTATTAGTGTATTCTTTTCTGAACATTACTTACACCTTCCTGCTCTAACTGAAACCTGATTACCTCCCTGAGGATACTGCTTCCACTGCAGTCCTCTCAAGTAGTGATTGGATTCCCTCCCACAGCAGTTATACCAGTGGGCTTAGAGGCTTGTTCTGCATTAGTGTTTTTACATCATTGGTCCTTTTTCCTCTCCAAACACCTCTAGCTTTGAAGCTCACGCATCAGATTGTACCACCCAGCAGGCACTCCCGTTACAGTCCTGTGCACACTCCAGTGTTGCTTCCCTCATTTCTTGAAGATGTTAGGATGCATTTCATTGTCTCTTTCTTCAGGCAACACTTGTGGTTTTGAAATATGAAAAACAATTCTTGGTGATTTAAATATCTATACAGATGATTCTTTCATTGTTCTGGCCTCTCATCTTCTTGAATTTCTCTCCTCTCATCATCATGTGTTTTGCTCTACTTCTGCCATCCGCCCTATGGTCATATCCTATTTCTGACCAGCACTTACTATCTTTCCAACTCACTTAAGTCCAGAACTTTGAGTAGCAAATTTTAGCTCCACCGGCACCTATTTCTATTGATTGTACCACTTATTTTCCTATTCCCTCAATTCTCTCCTGTTCCTACTTCCCTCTTTACCTCACTGAGGTTCCAGGGCTCACCTAATTATTACCGATTTGCATATAACATAACCTCAGTTCTCTTGGCCCTTTGTCCTACTCACCAAGCAAAACCTTAAGCCTTATATGTGTAACTTTCTGCCTGATCTGCACCTTCATAGTTTTATATGGCAGAAGAATATCACACAGATTTGCCATTTAACCTTTAAATTCATGACCATTGTCTTCAGGTAGGCCCTTGGTGTTGCCTGGCATTTTTCTGGCCTTTTGTTAGTCCATTCAACTGTCCCCTGTAAAGGACTATTTTATCTCCCTTCTTGCTCCTTAGATATCCAACCTCTCGTCTCCAATATAAAAAGCAACTTCTGCTTTTCCCCACCATTTCGCTCACCAGCCTACCTGCATTTGTACTCAAAGACTCTGCCTTTTGTATTTTATTTTTTACCTAGTTCATGCCCTTGTTTAAGGACAGCGTATTTCTATACTAGTTCTTGTCTTTTCTTGCTTAAGGTTATCACTAATCAATTGCCCCTTTTCTCTCCTACTTCATAAAATGTTTCCTATTAGTTCATTTTTATCACACTCTAAAATGCTTTACTATCTCCCATGGAGGCTGGATAGAAGTTTGGTATGTCTTGGTCTACTTGTGGCTCAGCCTGGTACTTTTGGTAAGGCTTCCCACACAGAGCTGATATTCAGTAGGACCCTACTCCTGGCAAAGCTTGTACTCTGGTGTTTATGTCCTCAACATTGTAAGAAAACTCCATTATGGAGTGGAAAACTCCATTATGCTTTTCAGAGGTTTTAGGGCTTAGCTTTTTAATTTCAAGCCCTGTACACATTTGGGATTTATCAAATGATTTGAGATAGAAACAAGTCTCAAATCTCCAATTTTGTCACTTCAGCCTTGCACAGCTACCAAAAGCTTCGATGATTTCTCTGTCCTCCAACACGAGCCCTCTGTGCACTCAAAGCCTGGCTTCCCAGCCCCTTGCCCAGGCCTGGAATCTTTAAAACTCAGGGGGAAAAAAATGCCTGCAGATCTGCAAACCACCCTCTTCAGAATCTTAGCCACTCAACTCATTGTTGCAGCCACAGCCTGCTGACATCTTTAAACTGGATTTTTAAATTTAACCTGGCTTTTCTTGTTTTTGGCTGGAGCACTGTTTTGCCACAAATGATTTCATCCTATCTGGATGTGGAGAACTGACATTTATCTTCAGGTTAGATTTGGAAAAAGTCCTTCTAAAATGAGCAACTGTTTTTACCATTTTCTGTCCTACCAACAGTATGCAATCTTGAGTCATTCAATATATTATTGAAGAGATAGACAAAACAGTTTTTAGTGCTTGGAAGCAATTACAGTGTGAACTCAAACATTTGATTTTTTTTATCATTTATTTTCTTACGTTAACTAAAAATAAGTACATAGAGCGTAATTAAATATTGACTGCTACCCATTCCTTCTTTCTCTCTATTCTTTGCCTACTGCCTTTCATGATACATAAAGATAAAGAAATCAACATTTGGCAATATTTACTAACATGTCTTTATTTATAAATATATATTACCCGTCATTGCAGTATATTTATTATTTATCTATTGCATGTCTTATGTTTTATGAAGAGTTGTTTTTTAATTATTTTAATATGCATAGTTTTCAAACTCTCTGGCCTAAATAGTATTCATTTTAATTTTTATGTCATAATCATTCTAAAAATGAACTTTTGAGTAACTGTCTTATACTTCTGAATGGAAACTTTTTCCTTAATTTTTTAAAATAAACTTTTTATTTTGGCACAGTTTTAGATTTGCAGGAAGGTAGTACAGTACGGAGTCCGCCTATGCCTTTGACCCAGTTTTGGTTTGCCCTGCCTTTGCCATTGCTCCTGACTGTAGTAATTTTGTCAAAATTAAGAAACCCATAGCAGGAGGGGAAGAATGAAGGGGAGTTAAGTCGGAGGGCGAGACAAACCATGAGGAGACGATGGACTCTGAAAAACAAACTGAGGGTTCTAGAGGGGAGGGGGGTTGGTGATGGGTATTAAAGAGGGCACATTCTGCGTGGAGCACTGGGTGTTATGCACAAACAATGACTCATGGAACACTACATCAAAAACTAGTGATGTAATGTATGATGATTAACATAAAAATAAAAAATTAAAAAAAAAACCCTCATTGGTAGATTACTATTAACTCCAGACATTATTCAGATTTTTACCAATTTTCCAGTAAAGTCCTCTTCAAGATTCAAACCAAGATTTGACCTTAATTTAGAGCTGCTATTTGGCATAAAATGTTTTCTAATTAAACTATCTTCTGTGTACTGCTAGGGTTTACCTTAGTCCCATTCTATGTAGCTATTAGAAATCTTTGGATTCAGTGAGAATTTCTTGATTTTTATACATTTGCTAATTTACTTTGTTTTTCAAATCAAGTTAAGATCATTTATTTACTTGAACTGGCCTTGTTAAAATCTTACCTTTTTCTGATAAATCCTAATACTCTTATTTATTCAAATTCTTCTCCCATAACTTTTCTATGTCAAGCTGAGAACTGAGCATCTTAAAATCTTTTATAGGATGAATTAAAATTGTTATAATTAGCATCTGTTGAATTAAAGAATTGTCTTACCAACCAGTCTTTCATTCTTTCTTACCATTTCTGACCCATTAATGCTCATATTGTTTATTTAAATTACAGAAATACTTGGTAATATGGGATAAAGCTAGAAACTTCCATTTCTTCACTAACTTTTCTGGGATCTTAAGTTTCATAGCACTCTAGAAGCTATCTAGTTAAACTACCCAGTAAATTGAGGAATCTTATCTATGACTAATTTTCAATTTAGTTAAATATTCATTTCTTCTTCATGTCTTGCTTTTGGTACTCACTTTGGCCTCAGAACATTTGACTGATAAATTATATTGCATCAAATATATTTGAATATCTACATGAGCAATAATGTCCTAATTCATACAGCTAGTCTTCAAGGCACAATTGGAGCTAGGCTAAACACCAATAAGCAACAGAAGAATAGAACTGGCCAGGACTGGCAACTCATTAGCTTTGAGGCCTGACCTTATTACAAGCTAGAGTAATTCAAATAATCATTTGTATTAGTTAGGGTTCTCCAGGAAAACAGAACCAATAAGATATATATATAAACAGATTTACTATAAAGAATTGTCTCATGTGATTATGGAGGCTGAGGAGCTCAAGATCTTCAGTCAGTAAGCTGGATACCCAGGAGAACCAGTGGTGTAATACCAGTCCGAGTCTGAAGTCCTGAGAAACCAGAACTGATGATGTAAGTTCTAGTCCAAGTTCAAGTCTGCAAGCAAGAAAAGACCAATATCCCAGTTTAAAGACAATCAGAGAGAAGGAATTCTTTCTTACTCAACCTTTTATTCTGTTCAGGCTTCCAAATGGATTGAATGTGGAGGCCCACTCAAATTTGGGAGGGCAGTCTGTTTTGTTCAGTCCACTGATTCAGATGTTAATCTCATCCAGAAACATCCTCACAGACACACCCAGAAGTAATTCTAATCAAATATCTGGACCCTAGTCAAGTTTTCATGTAAAATTAATAGTTAACACCATTCCTAGGGGTCCTAGCTAAATTAGGCTAGTTTAGGCTAGTTTTGATTTCCAAGGACAGGCATAGATATGGCGGGGCGTAGCAGCAGGAAGCTGGGCCTCATTGATACTTGCAGTTGGTAGGATAATATTGCAGAGATTTTCATTGATTGGACCCCAGCTGGTACCTGGTACGTAGGTGAGGGGCCCAATCCTGAGAACTGAATAAATTAGGCATGGGTCATGGGTATGGAGGTTGGGATATGGACTTTGGCCAAATGGGCCAGGGGCATTGATAAAATATATTCAAAAACACCAAAGCAGAGGACTTGTCATAAAGACTTAGAGTATAGCAAATAAAGGAAGAAAGTGGTAAATTCTCTATGTACATGGGTGTTTGGAATCAACTC